TCAACGCCATTGCTGGGCCCTGCCCAGACCAGCAGCTGTGGCCTTCTCCCACCCCACACAGCTGAACTACCCCCGCTGGCATGCAATTGCATACAGTTTGACTTGTTGGGCCATCAGGGTGACTAGGAAATTTCCAACAGCAGCCCTTATCTGCCTGGCTTGGTCTCGCTTACTACTGCCTGCTGCTTTCTGCTATACCTCTTGAATGGCTTCTCTGGCTTCTGCTAGGCTTACACTGATCAGGCCAAGCTTTGACTTTGGGAGCAGAAGCTCTAACCCTGAACCTGGAGCACAGGCTTGCTGTCCCAGTTCAAATCCGCGAATGTCTGGCTCGAGTTCTGGCCAGTAACCTTGCAGCTCAGAAATGCCTGAAAGCTCTGGGCTTCTTAACCTGCCCAACTCAAACCTTCTCCGTATGTGGCTGTGCTGCTTTTAAGTATTTTTTTTTTTTTTTTTGATTTTTCGAGACAGGGTTTCTCCGTAGCTTTTGGTTCCTGTCCTGGAACTAGCTCTTAAATAAATTTGTTAATAATTTTAAGTCTCAGGTACTATTTCTGACCTGTCTTTCTGCCTCAACTGTTTACACCTGTTGGCCAATAAAGATTATTACACCTACAACAATTTCCTGAAAATTATAATGGAGGTAAGTTAATTTGATAACGGAGGTAAGTTAATTAAAACACAAAACGCACAAATTAGGAGAGATAAATTGCAGACTCTAGATGACCTCCAAAGATTGCTAGGAGACATTTCCAAACTACGGTCCACTTCTGGGATAACACCTGATCAAATAATCCATTTAAACAAAACCTTAGAAAGTACAAAGACTTAAATAGTCCCAGGGAATTAACAACTGATGCTGAGAAAGAATTGACCTAGATTGAAGAGGAAATTACAGAGGCACATGTGGATCGTGTGGATCTGGATCTTAACTGCGTTCTGGTCATATTACCCTCCAAATATTCCCTTACAGGGATTTTAATGCAGAGGAAAGATATTATCTTAGAATGGATCCTTTTTTACCACACAAACTGAATAGAAAATTAAAATCTTATGTAGAAAATATTTCTGAATTATAAAAGGAAAAGCGAGACTTTCTCAATTAGCAGGAATAGACCCAGCAGAAATTATAGTACCTTTAATTAATGATAAAATTAAAGATTATTGGAAGACAATGAACCCTGGCAAAGAGCTTATACTAAATTTTTGGGGAGAGATTAATAACAATTATCCCAAAAGTGATAGTATTAACCTTATAAAGAAAGCTAATTGGATCCTTCTTCACACTGTACACCAATAACTGGAACCCCTACATTCTATACTGATGCAAATAAATCAGGAATGGCAGAAGATTTAATTAAAGTGGAAAAAAAACTTTATGATTCTGTCCAAAAGTCAGAATTATATGCTATTCTCATGGTACTAAGGTATTTTAAAGAATCTCTCAACATAGTTACCGATTCACAATATGCAGAAGGAGTTGTTTGCATATTGAAACTGCTGAATTTATACCAGCTGATACAGAATTGACTTCATTATTTACTAAGGTTCAAGAAATAATCAGGAATATATATAACACACATCTGATCCTATGCGGGTCTGCCAGGTCCTCTAGCACAAGGTAATGCAGAAATTGATCGATTATTGATTAGAAATATGCTGAAGGCCTCAGAATTTCATAAAAACATCATGTCAATAGCAAAGGTTTAATGAAAGAGTTTTCTATTAGATGGCAACAAGCTAAGGAGATTATAAAGAGATGTCCTACTTGTTCTTTAAATAATCAAACACCACTACCTCAAAGGAATGAAATCTTAAAGATGGATGTGTTCCACTTTGCAGAATTTAGAAAATTAAAATATATACAACACACCATTGACACTTATTCATGTTTTCAATGGGCAACTGCTTTGAGTTTGGAAAAGGCTGATTTGGTAATCACATTTATTAAAAGTTATGGCTATCACTGGTATACCTGCACAAATAAAGACAGACAATGGTCCAGAATATGTCTCTAAACAATTTTTTGCTTCTTATAATATAAAGCATATTATATGTATGCCACACATTTTTACAGGTCAGGCAATTATAGAAAGATCAAATTGAACATAAAGGATATGTAAAACAAACAGAAAGGGAAAAAATAATACCCCCAGAAATAGATTGCATAATGCTTTATTAACCTTGAATTTTCTTAATGCTAATTAGAAAGGAACAATGGCAGCAGAGAGACATTGGATAATAGAAAAAACTTCTGGATTAAATCAGTCGGTGTATTTCAAGGATGTGTTGACCTCAGAATGGAAACCAAGAGAAGTGCTGCATTGGGGAAGGGGTGTTGCTCTTGTTTCCACAGGAGAAGAAAAGCTACAAATACCATCAAAATTAATAAAGATTCGTTTTGAAAAGGTGAAACCTTTTGATAAAGAGAAATGACAGCTCATCCACAGAGGTGACAATCCTGCAGGTGTAAGGAAACCTCATAAAGTTTGGGGCATGATTCTTTTCTTGTTTTTTTCAGGAAAATATCCATCTTCAAAAAGTCAGGAGACCTTAGACATCTAGATACCTAAAGAGGAAAAGATAGTTATCCAGAAACAATCACCAAGCAAAGAGAAATATGACTTATGGTACCAATACCCTGTACAGGGTAAAAATTCATTATCTAAACATACATATTTTTCTACTTCTCACTATAATGAGAGTCACAACTCACTTAAAAATCAAAGCTGGCTTTGGAGTTGGACAGTGACTATCCTTCTCTAAATCCAAGCATGTTATTGAAAGAAAAAATTCAGAGTTTCTGTCTTATATCTGAAGCCACCTGGTATGGGACAGAAGGAAAATAAAATTTAAAGACTTAGTATTATCAAAACTCTGCTTTCAAAAAATTTTACTTCTCTCCATACCTATTTTTGCCTCTATGGTACCTTTTACATATATATTCATATATGTCTATATGAATAATGTTTAAGTTTTCTACAATGAACAATAAATTTTCCTGCAGTAACCTTTGAGGTTTCCAGGAAGAAGATGAGGACCCACAACAAAAATTCCCCCTGGTTAATATGATACAATTATGCTGATAGCACCACTTTAAGATTGGTTTTGGGTTACAAACTCCTCAAGATGATTCCAATTTGGCTAGCTGAGATGGTGCACCTTTTTACTACGTTTGGCTGTAACTTCAAATAAGAACTTCAGGAAAACCCAGACTGTCTGTAATTATACCAGACAGTAATCTTGAAACTTAACCATCATTTTAGTTTTTATAGGATCCCATAGAAATAACATTGCCCTCATGACAGCTGGAAGAAATTCTAGAAAATGACATCCCCTCTCCCAACAAAGTTTGTCTCAGGGCTAGGGACATTATTAGGGTTTGGGTTATAATTGGTATAGGGTTGGGTTGGAAATGAAGTAGGCTTAGGGAGGAATATCTCTTAAAAAAAAGGAAATAGATGGGATGGGATAATAGATTAGTGTGAGTTTACTCACACTAATAATAATATTGAGTTATAATAGTGAGAATACTTGTGAGCTATTCTTTATAGACAATTTTCATTGGTATAGATTCTTATATATTGATACAAATTCAAATTATATTTGTTATATTGAATATGCTCCTTTGTCTCTTTACGTATTTATGAATCTATGCAAAGTTATTTTGTCACATTGTATGCATGCATTTTTCTACCTCAGCTTAAGATATTTTATATATTGATGCAATTTTAGGATATATTTATTTATTGCACTATACATTTCTACCTCTGATCATGATACTTATACATTGTTTACATTCTGAAGTCATTGTCTCTGAAATGTTGCACATTTCTTTAAAGATTGCTTAATTTTTTAATGCAAAGCCTTATTCTTTAAATTATATAGGTATTAAGAATTACTGGTCAATAATCATCCATGTTTGTCATACTTATATTTAGACTAACCAGGTTCTTTAGATGCATTCCACAATGATAGGCAATCTTCAACACTTCAAAGAACTGTAGAATATGGGATTTAAGTAATTTAGGATTCTGTTGATGTAAGACACAATTGCTCCTGGCAGTCCTTATCTGTTCCTGAGAGAATTTTGGGCACTGAAGATACTCCATGTTCAGTGTGTTTACTTCTTGGCAAAACTGGCATTTTGAGAAAGAACTACCCTTATCTTGACTACTGACAAAATGCACAGTGTCTAGACTGGACAAGCAGGATACAAGCAAAAAGACTGCCAAACCATGCCAAGACAGTTTGAGACAATTTTTAAAGTTTTCTTGACTCTGAAAATGGTCTTTCAATTACTCTAGGACTTAGCCAAAGTCAATTTCCCCAACATTGCAAACTTTGGGTGATTGCCCAGGTAGCCGGTTGTCTCTCGTTTCTTTTGGAAGTTGCTTGATTGTACTTTCCCTTCTCAGGCCTTTGATGAAGTTCAAAACTAGATAGTCATAGCTACTTTCCTCTCATGTCTTAACCAAGCCATTTTTATTATAAGACTTAGACTCCTTAGGCTAGGATAACTATTGAAACCTTTAGCATATGTTTCTTGTTTGATGTTGTTGATGCTGGTTGTAATTATAATTTTTATGTATGTTTTTGCCTCTTCTTTTCCCTGGGCAATACTTGATATTTGTTCTTATTGTATATAGTTTTGTATTATGCTTAGAACTCTCTTATATAGACAAAGAGGGAGGTGCTGAGGGAACTCCTTCAGCCAATAGCCTTTAGGATACCAGCCCACTTTGGTTGTGTTCTCATGTACTATAAATACAGATGAAAAGCATGGGCAGGCCTCTTCGCTGCTGGATTTGGTTTCAGTTCTTAGTGCATACAGAGGATAGTGGTTGGCTACTATTTCTGTGAGTTTATCCCCTAATAAATACACCTTTGTTATACTCCATTCTGGGCTATTTTGGAACTCTTTTGTATGCAAACAAACTATTCTCAACAATCACATCTCCCCAAAGAGAGCCATGCAAAAGAAGCAGAAGAAAATGGGATGAGTTCTTCTTTTGTTTATTTGTCCCAGGAATTAAAAAAAATCAGCTTTATGAAACCATGATCTTCCCCTTGACAGATGGATCTGTACATTAGCATCGTGCTTTCAACCAACAGTTTACATTTCAAGAGGAAGTTAAAGAAAGTGATGAGAAGACAGTGCTATTTGTCACACGTTGTAACACTGATACAAAAAATAGTATTCTGATTAGCAGCTTGATTGGCAACCCATGTAACCCTAAATAGTACTACAAACCCAGAGAGTGCACTTTAACACACAGTTACTTTTGGCAAAACCATATGTACAATTTTGAACAAATAAATACATAAATACAATCATTCATATATAACAATATACCTAAAGGTCAATTATCATCAAGCGCGTCTAGTAAATTATTTCTTCCATTCACAAGTTACCTGTTGCTTATAAAAAAGTATCTTCACCTTTACAGAAATGATACAATCAATTGCCGCACTGGACCCACATATTAGGAAAGGTAGAAAATGATTTCCAGATGCTGTACATAAATATCCCATTGTCTTTTGTTAGAAGAAATTTGATTGAAAAACTCCTTCCTTGGCTTCTCTGTAAAGAGTTCGTTTCCCCTCCGTTTCTCATCACATAAGGGGTTTTGTTCTCCCGTATTTAATCAATATTCAAATCAAAAATGATCTTCATGTTTTGAACCTGGTTATTTAAAAGTACATTGTTACATTGTCATATAGTGAAACTGTTCCAAGAAGACACAAAGCCACATAAATGAGGCACCAAAGAGAAAGCATTTTTTCCCTCTAAGAAATAAATGAAGAAACTTTAAGATTATAGATGCTGATGTCATCTAGTACATAATGAAGAAATAATGGGGAGTTAGACAGTGTTTACAAAATTCTTTGAGTGACTTCTGGCTCAATAGTGCCATCATTATTTTCACTATATTATTGCAGTGCTGAGGACTAAACCCAGAGCCCTTTGTACGCTAGGCAAGTGCTTTACCACTGAGTTACACCCTCAGCCCCAGAATACTGTCATTATTATGATTTTTTTCTTAAATAAATGGTAAGAATGGCTTAATAAATAACCTTGACAGTAATTTGACCAGTTTCTTGTCATAGAACTAACAAAAGTAGAAAATTAGAGCTTTTCCTTGATAAGTTAAACATTTTTTTTTTTGAACATCCAAAAAACAAAGAAGAGCAAACATGCTTAAGGCTATTGAAATCCTGGACAAATGGCCTTGCCTCATCCACTTCCATGCAGAGGAAAATGTTACACATCAAGCAGATTCTATCTGTACATACACTTGAAGTGAAGAAAAACCTCTTTTAAAATATGTACATGTAATCGTTGATGTCTATTTACATGTTTATCATATGGGCACTATGAAGCATAAAAAAAGATAAGAAATAGTTCTTTAAGACATGGTTTTCTGATGTTTGCTCCTTTTCAAGACCAGGGCTCTATGCATATTCCACACATAGGTATAAAACAATTCATAGGTGGACACACATGGTTATTATAATGTGAGATTCTTTAACATGAAAAGTGACTTGGCTGAGCATGGTAGATGCAAGGCCATAGTAGGAGACAGAGACTGCATTCAGCTGTGCAGCTGGGAGGCTATGAGGCTTTCCCAGTGATTGGAGCTCACAATGGTTGAGGCTGGGTGATGAGGGGGTGGCTCAACTTACCCTGCTTCACCTCTTCTCTGAACCCTTGACACTGCTCAGGGATCAAATCAAATGAAAGGGTGGGAGGACCTGTGCCATTTAGTACTTTGGGAATAATGATAGATCCGGTGTTTCCTAGCAAGGGTTGATGAGATGATAGGGGCTCCATTTCTTCCTTTTGTCTCCCTATCACTACCAGCATCAGCTTCTATGTGGGTATTCCAGATGTCAAGGTGCAAATAAAATAGATCTTTTGGAACACTTTTAGCTGCGGGTCTTTTTTTGCATGACAGTGATGAGTTCCCTAATGAATGGAAGATGTGCTGAGTGCTTAATCCTCATCTAAGGACTAGCTCTACTCATCCTAAAAAAAATTTAAGAATTCATGGCAAATGATTCCTATGATTTATGCAAACCAAACGTAAAACTCCTCCCAAAGCAAAGCAAATGCTTTTCAACATTCTGGGATACCAAGGCAACACACCAGAGTGACAAATTTGTCACCCAAACAAGAAACATGGCAGAGAAATTGAAGCTTCCACAATCAGCTAACTTATAGCCAAGGAAATATCAAGTCTTGGAAGAATTAGGTACACTGAGAGTTCACAGTCAATCTTTATTTGGGTAAATTGTTATATTAAGATGACGTTCCACAACTGATGACCATCTTTATAATGACTGTAATCATTTTAGCATTTAGCATAATGCATGATACATGGCATTACGTAGCACCTTTTAAACTAAAGATTTCAAAATACTTATTAGCAGTCATGATTTGCTCTCACAGTACCTGTGAGGTAGATTTTCTGTTTAGCCATTTTGCAAGTGAGCATACAGAAGTACATAAAAAAAAAAAAGAGATGCCTGTTCATAGGGTCCATGTAAATTTGTGGCATCAGTGGGATCTGAACTCAGGCTTCCCTGCTCTTCCTTCCCTTGGATCTCAGCCACAGAACCTCCAGAACATCTCAGAACAGCTCTGCTGCTAAAAGTACTTAAATGCTTTAGATGTCATGAGCATATTACAGGTTTTTTTTTTTTTTGTGGTAGCAGGGCCACATCTTTCAATAACACTGGTACCTGTTAAAGATTTTTCTCACATGCTTTGCACACATGTGAGAGGGGCATTGTACCTATTGCTAAGCTTATGCTAGTTAGAATGGATGCCTAAATTTGCATTTTATCAACTGCTATGTGTTGTTTCTGGCCCTCCTACTAACTTATTTTCTACACATGGAGACATACACCTGCCTGATCAAAGAACTATAAAATGCACTTAAAGACATTATATGGAGGGAAGCAGGTGACAGTACTACTTTTGGCAGTCTCCTTGGTGGCACCATGTAATATCTGTTCTGAAAAAAAATGTGTTTATTTGCTTACTTGGAGTAGCATTTTATGTACATCCCACCTGATGGCCAGATTTAATCCTTGAAAGTATAAGCCTACGTGTTTTCTATTCATACAGAATAATTGATTCTCAAGTTTCAGTTCCCATCTATCTCACCACAGTCTCCCTATCAGGGATAAGATAAAATCAATTATTGGTTGAATCGTGAATTCTGTACACATTCCTTGGCAATATATGCAAAAATCCAAAATCATATCCAGTGTGCCTTCCTGACTATGTATCTTTTCTGGCTTTTTTTTCCCCCTCTAAAGAGTTACTATTCATTTTTGCAGCAATGATATGAAGACCTTGGTGTGAATTTCCATTTCCTGACCCAGATTTTGATCTCAGATGCGCAGCCCACAAATCCTAGCAGTCATGTGGAGTCACTTTTGGAAACAAATGACAATGTCTTAGGACCCGAGAATGAAATCTGGCCCTCCCAACGCACTTACTGTTTCCATGACTGAGCCTAACACTTGTAAATTAGTGATCCAAGAAAGGAACCAGGAACAGGAAGCAAAGACTTTACAAAACCCCTTACCAGTTCATTTCCCCTTGGTGACGCCCGCAAAATACCAACACCTTAGTCTCCATTTCTTAGAAAAGAAACGTATGTACATCAATAAAAACCCCTAGCATCTGAGATGCTTCTTGCTTGACATGTCGTTCCAGATCCTGTGCATTTCTTCTGGGGAGATCTGGTGGACGGTAATGACGCGGCGGTACCTACACAAACTGTAGGCCATTTTCCAGTGGTTGAAGCCGCTATTCTGGAAAGGGTGTATGCCTAGCTTTCGAAGACACAGTCCCACGTACACATCTTCAAGGTGAAGCAGCCTGGTATGGAGGGAGGTTTTGTAAATGAGTTCAGCCACATCGGCGGAAAAGATATAGCCAGTTCCTGAACAGAATGGCGGGTAGTTGCTGTCAGGGTACAAATCCCGAGGCATATACCACTTACTGCGGACATCCCGGATGGGCCCACCATTGATGACGTAACCAGTAAAATACCTTCTTCTCGGCTTGGTGGAGGGTTTCAGGAGTTTATAAATAAGGTTGTCCATGTTCACAAAAATGTCACTGTCTGTCTTCATGACATACTTGGCCTTGGAACAGAAAGTGGCGACCCATCTCATCCCCATTAAGGTTTTGAGGGTGAGGTTGTGGTAAGAGTCAATGAAGTCCTCTACGATGATGTCATGGAAGATCTGACTCTCTTGTTCCACCATCTGGTTCAGAACAGGATCAGCATGTTTGCCCAGGAGGAAGAGAGTGGCGATCTTGATCCCTTTGAAGTTGTTCTCATCCCCCCACGTCTCCCTGATGGCCTGGCGCGCATCAAATTCCTTGTGTGTGGTGCTAATGAGGATCACAAGGAAAGGAATGTTTTTCTCACATTTGTTGGGCTCATTTATCAGAAACTCAAAAGAGTGGGGGTTTATAGGTCGAGTTCTTATGTTGCCAAAGGTGAAGTTTTTCCGGGCAACTGTTAGGTGAGTAAATGGCTTTGAGCCAGTGTAGGAAGAAGTAGGTCGTGTGATGCTCAAGTACCAGAGAGCGCTGGCCCAGCACACAACGGTCAAAACATAGAGGCAGGAGACCTTTGAAGCCATGGTCTTGAGAACAGGTCTAGTGCAAAGGCTGAAGAACACGTCTTTCGGGCACGAGTTTTGCGTCCTTTTGCAAAGGCAGCATATTATTCAGCAAGCAATGAATTCTGCGGGAGAGGAGTCGGTTGCTAGGTGTCCCTGAGCCTTAGCTATGCTCAGGCTTCGTAGCACTCACTTCTCTCTCCTCCCACCCTAATGGACGCTCCATGCCTCAGAAATCGTCCTTGGAACTCTGCAAAATCAATAAAGCACAGTTGTGTTCAGGTTTACTTAGCCATGTTCATATTCTTGAATAAATACAATAAAGGCATAAGAATTATCAGTGATGACAAAAATCATTCATTTCCATAAGCCTTAAAAAAAACCCTGACATAACCTCCTAGCTTCTCCTGTGGCATGAACAGAAATTGTTTATGCATATTTATATTTAATACATAATTACACTAACCATGAGCACGAGATGGCTAGGGAGTAGACCTAATATCAGTAACTTCCTGGAAGGAATCTCCTTATTTAGAAGAGGCTATTATTGCACTTAGACACTGTTGGGCTCTCAAAACTTTCTGAAAAGCTCACACGCCATTCATATCCCTTCTACTTGTCAAACTTTGAGCTTCTAATTGCTTGATTTTGATAAAGAAATCAACTCTTAACATTGCTTTGCTTTCTCCCATTGTGCATTTGGAAATGTCTTGATCGCTGCCTGCAAACCTTTGCTAGTACTCTGCTTTCTTAGCTTAGACAGGAAGAACTACTGCCTGGTCCTGATCTGGCACGGGCACAGCTCTTACCCTCCCTCATAATGAACAGCCGAGAGAAAAAAAAAAGACTGGAATTTCATAACTCTAACGACTGATCAGAAGAATGGTACCTTAGTCTTATATATCACTATGGGAAGAGATATACCTTGCTAAACTGCCTGGGATATCATTAGTAGACTACTATTTAAATTTGATGGCAGGAATCTTAAATATTGTGTATGTGAGGGCCAGCCATGATAAGCTAAGTCTGGGAAGGTCACCCAAAGGAAGTTCTTTACTTCCAAACATTATCACCTGGGACTCTGGCCATCGATGAATTTAAATGAAGTCTGGAGTCTCCTCTATACTATGCTCCATGTGTCTTGACTGAATACTTTCAACTGTGGTGTCATTATCTAAAAGGAGCAAAAACCCAAGGAACATAAAGCCAAACTTCAGAAACCATAAGGCAAAATAAATCTTTCTTCTTTGTATGTTTTCTCAGAAGTACTTTAGTTATAGTTACATGAAAATAGCCAGTACATGGAAAGTACCAACTCAGCATACTGGTTATGCTGATTTCAGAGTTGTTCTAGCAGTACAGGATTGTCAGCTTTCAATGTCCCTATATATTTCCTTAAGAAAATTACACACTGGACTTTTCCATTCATTCCTTTTTTAAAAAAACTGATATGTGGTTATACACATTGGATGAGGATAATGTGAAGGACAATTGAGTTTAAAGTCCAAAAATTCAATGACTATGTGACAGAAGACTATAGATGGAAGTTTCTGTCCCACCTGGTCCCATGATCATTCAGTCCCAAATAAACACACATTGGTTTGTATTAATTATAAACTGGTTGGCCTATTGCTCAGGCTTATTACTGATTAGCTCTTACAACTTAAATTAACCCATAATTCTTATCTATGTTTAGCCATGTGACTTGGTGCCTTTTCTCAGTAAGGCATTCTCATCTTGCTTCCTCTGTATCTGGCTTGTGACTGTGTCTCTGCCTTTCCTCTTACCAGAATTCTCCTGTTCTGGTCACCCCACCTGTATTTCCTGATTTGCTACTGGCCAAACAGCATCTTATTAAGCCAATATAAGTGGCATATTTTACAATGTACAAGAGTAGTATCCTGTAACATTTCCCACTTTTTCTTTTCAAAACAAGAACTCTGAATGTAATCTCCTTTGTTTAGCTTTTTCCCTGACCATTATCCTTAACAAATTGTAGCCAATATTCTAAACAAAGACAAGTTGAAGTTTTAAATACTTCAAAAAGTTTTAAAGTGTTCAAATGAAGTTGTTCTTTAAAACACTAATCATTTCTAAAATTGTTATGGTTTTCTAGAGCTTATAAATATTATCCCAGTCAAAAATATGTGTCAGATTACAAAGTACATTCATAAAAATATTTCTATTTCTTTCAATTTATTTATATGGTGGATTACTTGAGCCGATTTCCATATATTGACCAATCCCTACTTCTCTGGGATGAAGCCTACTTGGTTATATGGATGATCTTTTTGATGCATTCTTGGATTCTGTTTGCAAGTATTTTATTGAGCATTTTTTGCATCTATGTTCAAAAGGAAATTTGTCTGTAATTCTCTTTCTTTGTTGTATCTTTGTGTGGTTTTGGTATCAGGATGATTGTGGCCTTCCAATATAAATTGAGCTATATTTCTTCTGTTTCTATTTTGTGGAATAATTTGAGGAGTATTTGTATTAGTTTTTCTTGGAGAATGTTGCAAAATTCTGTGCTGAAACTGTTTGGTCATCTCATTAGATACCAGAAAAAAAGCCTGTAATAAAATATAATACTACTGCATTAGAGAAGTCTTGAAGAAAGTATGGATACAAGAAACATACCTCAACATAATAAAGGTAATTTCATCAAGTCTATTTACTATAGCCAACATCAAATTAAATGGAGAGAAACCCAAACAATCCCACTAAAATCAGGGACAAGACAAGACTGTCCACTCTCTCCATATCTATATAATATAGTACTTGAAGTTCTAGCTAGAGCAATTAGACAACTAAGTAGAATAAAGGGATACAAACTGGAAAGGAAGGAATCAAATTATTGCTATTCCCAGGTGATATAATAGGATACATAAACAAACTCAAAATTTCTACCAGGGCACATCTATAGCTGATACACAACTTCAGGGAAGTAGCTGGATACAAGATTAACTAAAAAAAAAATAGTAGCCTCTTATAGGCAAATCACCAATAGACTGAGAAAGTAATAATTGGAACAACATTGTTCATAGTAGCCACAAATAATACAAAATTTCTTGGGGGTAAATCTAACCAAGCAAAGAAAAGACTTGCATGATAATAACTTTAAGTTGTTAAAGAAAAAAATTAAAAAGATATCAGAAGAAGAAAGATTACCCATGCTTATGGTTTGGTAGGAGCGACATAGTAAAGCAGCCATCCTACCAAAAGCAATCTCCAAATTCAACACAGTCTCCATCAAAATTCCAACACAAGTCTCTACTTACCTTGAAAGGAAAATACTCAATTTCATATGGAAAAACAAAAAGTCCAAGAGAGCTAAAACAATACTGAACCATAAAAGATCTGCCAGAGGTATCACTATCCCTGATTTTAAGCTGTACCACAGAGTTAAAATAACAAAAACTGCACGGTATTGGCATAAAAACAGACACTTTGATCAATGGAATCAAATTGAAGACCTACTCATAACTCCACACACCTACAGACATCTGAATTTTGATAAGAAGGCAGAAATACAAATGGAAAAACAAAGCATCATCAAAAATGTTCCTGGACTAATTGGATGTGTGCACACAGAAAAAAATGCAAGTAGATTTATATCTATCACCCTGCACAAAACTCAGTACAAGGGAATCAAAGACCTCAGCCAAAAACCAAATACACTGAACTTGAGAGAAGAAAAAGAGGAAAAATAGCTTGAATGCATTGGCACAGGAGAAAACTTACTAATCAGAACACAGATAACACAGACACTAAATCAACAGCTAATGTGTGGGATCTCATGAAGCTGAAAAGCTTTTGTAAGGTAAAGGTCAATATCAATAGGATAAAGTGGCAGTCTACAGAATGGGAAAAGATTTTTGTTTTGTTGGTTGTTTTGTTTTTGTTTTCATGAAAAGGTTTCTTTATATTACAGCTCTGACTGTCCTGGAACTTGCTTCATAGACCAGTCTGTCTTCAAATTCAAGATAGCTGTCTGCAACTACCTACAAAGTCCTTGGATTTGAAACTTTTTTTTAACAACTCCACAAAAAGATGGAGGGCTAATATCCCAAATTAAAAAAAGAATATAAGAAAATAGCTATGAAGAAAACTAAAAATCCAATTAAAAATGAGGTACAGATCTAAACAGAATTCTCAACAGAAGAATCTAAAATGGCTGAGAAACATTTAATGAAATGTTCAACGTCTTTAGCCATGAGGGAAATTCAAATCAAAATTACTTTGAGATTCCATCTTACATCTGTTCGAATAGCTAAGATCAAAAACAAAATGACAGTTCTTGCTGGTTAGGATGTAGAGCAATGGAACACTCCTCTATTACTGGTGAGAGTGCAAACTTACCTGATCACTATGGAAATCAATATGGGGGTTCCTCAGAAAACTGGGAATTTATCTACTTCAAGAACCAGCTATACTCTTGGGCGCATACCCAAAGGATGCTCCATCTCACCATGAAGACACTTGTTCAACTATGTTCATGGAAGCTTTATTTATAATAGACAGAAACTGGAAACAACCTAGATGCCCCTCGACAGAAGAATAAATAAAGAAGACATGGTACATGTAACCAATGGAGTATTACTGAGCTTTAAAAAAAATGACATCATAAAATTTGCAGGCAAATTGATGGGACTAGAAAAAAAAATCATTCTAAATGAGGTAATCTAGACCCGGAAAGCCAAATACGGTATCCACTCCTTTTTTAAGTGGATATTAGTTGTTAAGTAAATGATAATCATGCTACAATCCACAGGCCCAGGAAGGCTGAGTCAACAAGGAGGGCTTTAAGGGAGATACATGGCTCTCCCTTGGGAATAGGAGTGAGAACAGATTTTCCCAGAGGATCGGTGGTGGTGGAAATGAGAACAGGAGGGATCGGGTGTGTGTGAAGGAAGGGATGGAGAGAGTACGTGAAAGACTACTGAAACTGAAGGACAATGAGGAGTCGATGTGAGAACCTCGTGTAGTAGAAAAATCCCAGGATTCTATCAGGGTGACCCTAACAAGGACTCCTAGGAATGGAGGATTCAGAGCCTGAGCCAGCCATCCTTTGTAACCTGTGGTGGGACTGGGACCACCAACTTAGCTACATAACCTGCGACCCACAATCTATCCCACCTGCAAGACATGGTGGGGCAATGTAAGCTCAGAACTCATGGGAGTGGCTGACCAAATGAGGCCTGCACCATGAGAGGGAACTCATTCCTGACACTGCTGGGAAGACCAGGAACC